TTTTTTTCGAGATTTTTTCATACTCTTGTGTATACATATTTAGAGCTGAAATTTTACACGGTCACACATGAGCCCTAAAGTTTTATAAAAATAAGTATTTCATATTGAAATGCGCTGAACTGTTTATAAAGTTATCACGCAAAATGAAGACACACTTATGTTTCAAACTGTCTTAGACTAGTTAGTATGTAGCATGTGCGAAGTTGAGATAAAAGCTATTCCACCACTTAACAATTGAAAACTTAGCACTAGAATATTTAAAACCGTTTTAATTGCAAATTAATCACACCGTACACATACACGTTATATCCATCATCACCCTGTATTTTATATAATATTATAATTATTATCTGGGTACTTGTATTTCTTGCTAGCATTGTCGCTACGTCATGAAATCTTATCTGTATCTTAAACTAAAGCGGATGTGTCCTTCACCTTTTGTTGCAAAGAAAACAATTTTTTTCGAGATTTTTTCATACTCTTGTGTATACATATTTACACGGTCACACATGAGCCCTAAAGTTTATAAAAATAAGTATTTCATATTGAAATACGCTGAACTATTTATAAAGTTATCACGCAAAATGAAGACATACTTATGTTTCAAACTGTCTTAGACTAGTGAGTGTGTAGCATGTGCTGAATAGCTGCATTATTGATGACTGTATGACTTTGTCAAATAAGCAGGTCACGTGATCCAGTTTCTTTACGAAGAAATATAATTCCCTGGACTTTTTTCTAAAAGTTTTAGTATAGTATTCTGCAAGTTCAAAATATTGTAAAATAAATTCGAGAAAACGAAAAAACAGTATACAAATATCAAACAGCTGACCGTCTTCAAAATTAGGCAAAATGCTCGGTATTAGTCCCTAATACATTATTTGAAGTTTCAGCACTGTATCTTGTATAGTTTTCAAGAGTATTCTAATTGTTTATATCATATTTGATATGCCATCGAAGTTTGCTTGACATTTATCAGTGTCAAGTGCAGTGGTATAAAGTAGTACCCAGATGCGTCGTAGCGTAATGGGAGAGAACGGCGATTTCTGAACCGCAGGACTTAGGTTCAAATTGACAAAGCTCCTTTTTTGCTATTATGTTTTTAAATTTGGAGAAATGAATGTTTTTTCACATTATGTGCACTTATATATCGATCAAGTTTTTCGCACGCCATAGACAATGTAAGCTTGCAAACAGGGAACCAGCGGTATACGTATGATAGTTTATATTTTTTTCTATATTACTTTGTTGCAACTTCAGAAACACTATTTCGGATCGTTGGTGATAATTTTTGAAAACATATATCTTAGATGTGTAAGTGCGAAAAACTGTTTGATTCATCATTGACAAAGGGTTGACCTGGCAGAAACATACTGATATTTTGAAAACAAGATTCCAAATTACCTTTCGGCAGCTTTATCCTTTGTTGTGCGAAAAGCTGTTTGATTCATCATTGACAAGGGGTTGACCTGGCAGAAACATACTAATATTTTGAAAACAAGATTCCAAATTACCTTTCGGCAGCTTTATCCTTTGTTGTGCAGAAAAGTTTGATCAACAAGATTCGGTTGTATAAAATGGTCATAAGTCCGGTAATCACCTACGCATGCGCGGCTTGGTGTTTTCTTGCACATGCAGAGACTGCAAGTCCTGGAAAACAGAACTCTATGCACAATTACTAACGCCTCCTGGTGCGTGTCAAATGAGACTATTCACAGAGATCTTGATATCCCATATCTAAGGGATTACGTAAAAGAACAGGCGCACCAGCGTTATAATCAAGCGGAATCGCACAACCCTCTGTTGCGTGATTCAGTAGACTACACAGTCGAGCAAGTTCGCAAACATTCCAGGCCGCGCCTCGCACTGTGATCAAAATTAAATTGTAAATTCAGACCAGCCAAAATTATTTCAGTATACAAAACCAATCAAAATTATTTTTTGGAGTTACAAAATAATTCGAGTAGTCAAAACAATAATTCTTAAGTTATTTCAAATGATTTACTTCTTTTCTTTGCTCTATTTCTTCCTTACTTTCTTTCCTTCTTTCCCTTTTCCCCTTAAACATGTTTGGTATCTGGATAGCCAGACCTGACAGACTAACAGTCCGACGAGACTTTTAACTAAGGGTAAAGGTCCACCGGACCGCTCCGACGAATGATGACGAATAGTTGAACTGTTTGATCGCAATAAAAGTACACATAATGTAAAAAAACATTTATTTCTCAAAAAGAAGTTTGGGAACGCTCTTAAATGTTTTGTTTTTCGCTCTTAACTCCACCGCTACTGGAATGATTTTCAAAATAATAATAATAACTTTTATTTAGGGCGAAGCTTAGACAAAAGCTATTCCACCACTTAACAATTGAACACTTAGCACTAGAATATTTAAAACAGTTTTAACGAAAATTGCAAATTAATCACACCGTACACATACATATGTGTACAAAGATTGATATAATATGCAGAAATATGCGGAAATATAGATGATCTATATACGGAGAGTTAATTCAGATGTGCTCATCAAATATAATTTAATTTGCTTTTTGAAATTAATAAAATCAACATTTCAGTGGCTGGTCATGCATTATACAGGGTGATCCACAAATCGTGACCAAAAATAAAACATTATACAAAATCCTATGTAACATTTTCTCCTCAAGGGCTTCATTAAAAAGATACGGGGTGTTGAAGTTTAAAAATAGAAAACAATTCTTAATATCTTCAAAACCGTCAACTGGAATTTACTAAAATTTGGTATGTGAATTAACAGTATTGTCCATATGTAAAAGTCTTTACTTAAAATTAACGAGCATGTTTTTTCCTAGAGTGCACCGTTTTTATAAGAATAAAAATAGGAAAAAACACAAGAGTAATTATTTGTAGCAAATTGAAGCCCTCGAAGAAATAATGTTACATGGAAGACCCCCTAAAATGCGGTACTGTGTATGGTGTTTCATTTTTGGTCACGACTTGTAAATCACCCTGTATAGATTTATCATATTATAGGTAAAGCATTTATGAAATAATGAAGTTCTTTGAAGAGGCATAGTTACAGTGTCAGTGAACCGAATATTCCGTGAGTGTATATGCTTACGAGATATCAGTTCATTTTTCAAACATGAAGGAACTGAAGTATGTAGGAGTCTGTGAACATAGCATAATGAATGAAATTTGTATAACTTTGCAACATTCAATCAATTCCGCTATTCAAAACCTGAAATAATATGATCATATTTTCATATAAAATGAAAATCAATCTCATGAAATTTTGTAGACTTTCATCTGGAACTGAATCTAGAAGTGGTAGTAGTAGTTATTTTCTTAATTTAAGTACAGATGCCGTAAAACGTTAAAACAATTTTTAGTTTAATTATTTACGTTAGTAATAAATTTTTCATCAATAACCAATCCTAAGTTTTCAACCGATTCTTCTATAGGAATAGCATGGCCTTTTAAAATTATTTTTAGTAAATGAGTGATTAGACTTTTAGGAGAAAAATTTGCTTTGGCCTTAGAGGGATTCAACCGGAGACAATGCTATGTTGCATAATTTTCAACAGAAATCAGGTCCTCAATCATTTGTGCTCCCGTAATTCTTAGATTTTCATGATTGAAACTATGATATAATTGTGGGTCGTCAGCAAAAAAAATGAATACTACAAAATCGCAGCTTGAGTTCAATGTGTGTACGAGAGAGAAGTGCGAGAAGTGTGCATCAAAACATGTTAGAAAGAGATGGAAGCGAAGGTCATAGCCACATTGCCTAGCAACAGTGACGCACAAGGTCATGCAATCTGCCACGTTGTCAATATATTACACCAGAAAATGGTCACACAGGATTCTTTCTACAATACGTTAGGTTACTCTCAAATCCAAGAAGGAAGCCTAAACATCACAATTTAATATTTTGTCTTCACTTTGATTAGAATTATTTATTTCAATTTCAATGCAATTTAGTGTTTTAATTTATTTTAGAATCATCTTTGATTTCCACCGATCAACGACGACCTTTTGGGACCCATTTATCAGAAAGCTGCGTATTAAACTCAGTGAAAACTCATCAAAACCATATAACAAAATCTTGGAGGGTTTTTCGCCCTTAGCGTAGAACCAATCTGCTGTCAAAATTTGATCGAAATCCGATTGGTACTTTTTGATTAGTTACCGAAAGAATGACGGAGAGACGATGACCCATACCATACCATATCTCGTTTGGAAACTTGTAAATGAGTCCGAAATTATGAAGTACTCGGTGGTGTTACTCTCTGGCAAGGAGTACAAAGCCATTTTTAGAGTGTTTATTTGCAAAGATTGCCACTCTAGGGGCAAAATATACTTCGTACTGCTATTGAGCTTTTTGCAGAAAATTTTAGCTCTCTAGGGCTGTCACATTCATTGCACAGGCTTTCCAGCTACGCCACTGGCTGAAAATCCTTAGGTTTCCAAGCCACGTCGTCACGTAGTCAATGGGTGATATGCATAAAGGTGAGTGGGTACTCAGAAGTAGCGACTCCATATTGTAGCGAGTAACTACTCCTGTTATGGAGAGCCTACTCGGTTTTGATATGCATAAAATATTTGTCGAGAAACGGAGAGGCTACTCAAGTGCTAATGAAATACTTGAGTAGGCACTCTGGTTTTCGATTTCCGACTTGTATTTTGTTTTCTCGCCGAATTGGCAATTTCTATATTGCGAGCAGTTACTACTGTATACCGGTAAACGTTTGTGTCGGTGGTGCTTAGGTCGATTATTATTTGTTGATTTACATGATGTGAACCTATTCTGAAGACCATTCATCTGAAAATCAAACAGTATTTGTTAATATAATTAAACAGTATTCTGTTTTGTTGGAAAAATCTAACATCCCGGAATTCAAAAATGAACGACGTAAGGCGGTTGAAGAAATAAAAGTTAGAAGCCGAATTAGAAGTTAAATATAATGAAGGGCAGATTTGGAACAAGATTCAAAACATAAAAACCAGATTAAAAGCGAAGACAGACAGAAATCAAACCGGAAACAAACCAATAAAATTGAAAGGATGGGAACAAGAACTGTTCAATTTTCTACAAGGAGAATCAAATCCAATCAAATCCTAGTATTGCTCGATTGCAATGTTAGTTGTATTTTTTGTTTTTCCATACAGTAGGTATAAGATGTGATTGAGTATAATATATATACATATTTGTCAATAAATATAAATAGCATATATTTTAAATTTTAGGTGCTGTTGTGGCAGGTTGCCCACAAAAAAGCGTTCATTGCACTCCAACAGCCTGTACTGAAGAAGAAACAATCACCGAAGAAGCATCTGGAAGTTCAGGACCAGTACTGAAAGCTACCACAATGAAAGTCGGACCCAGTAAGGAGCCTTCTAAAAAAAAGGAAAAAGAGGATTAGTGGAAAGCGATGAAACGCGAGATTTATCAATAACAGAGCTACAACGTCTCGTTTTACTTGAACATCTACAAGTGTTTCGGCTAGCTAAGGAACTGCTAGTTCACAAGAAAAATATTAATGGATCTGATCGAAATTTATCAACTTTAAATGAAAGTGCAGAAACTGGAAATCCAATTTTCATGAGCGTATGTCCGAACTGACAGAAATACTTCATGTTTCATAAATGTTATTTTTTATTAATTTTAAGAACTTTCTCTTAAGTTATTATTTTGAAAGTGTTATTAATTTTGTTATGAGTAATTAAACATCGTTTTTCAACTTATATCGACATAATTTGTAATAATTCTTGATATTGCATCTCTTCTAAATTGACCTCTCTGACGTCGGCAGCATGTTGATTATGGATTTCTTCTTGTTCGCCATCTCCCGGTAAATCAACAGCAAAATCTTCATCATTAAGGTACTTAGCTACATTACGCAAGATAAAACAACTCATGACAAGAGAGGGCACTTTTTCTGTATTGACGCGTATTTTGTTATGTAGAATGGGAAAACGCTGTTTTAGTTGCCCGAAACATCTCTCTATTCTAACGCTCTCTCGTACTTTTTTTTCTACTTTTTTGCTGTTGTTTTACCGCACATTAGCTTTGCCATTACAAATTATATGAAATACATTGTTCCTGAAAAGAAAGGTCCCAACTTTCAGGAAATTCTTCGACGATGGAAACAATGGACTTTTTAGTAATACAAAGAACAAAGGTTATTCTAGATAATATTGTGAACGACTGCTAACGGTGATATCGTATTTTTTACGGTTTTTTCAGGTACGTCACAATGCCATACGAAATAAGTTAACAGACGATACATTCCGCCTAATCACAGTCTGGATCCATATGACAATCAGCTTGCCTTGCCCTACCACCAAATGATGTACAAGCTATCTGTGAATGGATGGTAGGAAAATAACACTATCGTTTAAAAAATTATCAACAATCTAAGCCGCTGCTGTTTTGTCAGCCTTGTACATGGAATATTTTAATGTTATTCCCTAATTGATGAGATTAATATTAATTTACCCTCAATTATATCACGCATTACAACCCTTGCAATCATGGGCGGTGCAAGGTTCCCGGCTAAGATCATTTTGGGTTCCTTATAAGAACAACACACACCGTGGGTTTGTTGTACAGTGGGAGGAGGAAATCCAAAGAAACACAAGGCTCCCAGAGAGCTCTTTGGAGATCGGCACCCCTTTTACAAAACTGCAGAATGAAAGGGGTAGCGACCTTCTTAAATAATTTTGTGATTCTCAAAGCAGATAGTAGGCGAAATAAGTTGGAGAACAGACCAGCGACAAATACTAAATTTTTCGTAATTATGACACGTCCTCACCAGTAGGGAAAATCGAGTTTTTCACTATCATAAAACTTTTCTATTTGAGTTGTAGCTTGCTTCTGATTTAACCCTCAAGGCGCCTGTATTAGTTTCTAGGAATGGTGCCTGAATATTGGAAAAAAATCCAAAAACACTGTCGACCTAGACATATAAATTCTGAAACAAAATGACAAAATCTCAATTCGTCATAGATTGTAAAAAAATTAGCAAACATTCATATCATTTTGAAAGAATCTATATAAATGCTGTATTATTGCTTTGTGAAATTTTGGCGCGGTTACGTGAGAGATTTCCCGTTAATGTTTCAACTTGCCGAAACAGCGGATCCGCGTTTTGAAGGAGCGGCAGCCCGCAGGTCGATAAGTTAACAGGGATCCCCTGTGGGAATGTTAGATCCCCTTTTGTATGATTGCTTCCCTAGTCCAAGCTCCTAAAATACAGCAGTTTGCTTGGACTTATTAATATGCCTGAATGTGGTTGAATGGCGTATGTGAAGCTTATCCAGTAAAAAATCGGTAGGAATTAAGCATTGAATGGTAGAATGATTGCAAGGGCTTAAACCGATAGGTCGGTTCTGGTAGATTACACTAGTCACCCAGATTCGACGTGAATTCCTGGCATGATACATCTCCTTCTATCGAAGTTAAGATCCGACAAACAGCTCTTGCACCTGACTAAGGTGTGTTTCCTCGAATTCCACTGACCTGCTCTGCCCTCTAGTCGAAAAATCTATGGTCACATCTTATACGCTTTCCTTGAGGAATAAGATGGTCTCTCCTTGAATTTGAAACAAACAGTGACGCTTTTGACGAACTTTGAAGGGAATATTTGACATTTGCATTTCACAGTAGTACAGTAACAGTTGTTATCTATCAGAAATATTGAAAATTTGTTAATAATAATAATAATCTTACGTCACTACATGGACGCTATAGAACGCGAATTGAAGACCAGGCAGTAGACACCAAAGCATCCCAAGAGTGGGTGCGTTCCACTAATCTGTTCGTGGAGACAAAGGCGTTTGTGATGGCTATTCAAGACCAAGTGCTGCCTACGAAAGTCTACAGAAAGCGAATAATGGGAGAAAATATAGACAATATCAAATGTAGAATCTGTGGAGATAAAGACGAGAACCTAGGCCACATTGTCGCAAGCTGTTCCACACTCGCCCCAAAACATTATCTAGAAAGACACAACGACGTGGCCAAAAATGATCTACTTGGAACTGGTCAAGCGCTACCTCAATGAAGGATCTACTGAGCCATACTATCGCTACACGCAACTCCCAGTTAGAGAGACTAGGTCACATAAAATGTATTGGAACAGGAAAATAATTACAGACCGCACAATACCAAATAACATCCTGACAGTTCTAACGTTAAAAGAACAAAAGATAACATACATTATAGATATCGCGGTTCCGCTCCCTGTCAACCTTCAAAGTACCTACTCAGAAAAAATCAACAAGTATCTACCGCTGTCAGAAAAAATCAAGCAGATGTGGGAAATGAATACAGTTATGATTGTACCGATAGTTATTGGCACCACAGGTAAGATCCTTAAGAAGTTACACACAAGTCTTGAAAAGCTAGACCTTGACCAACATGTTTACAAAAAAATTCAGAAAGCCGCTTCACTACACGCAGAACAGTCCGTAGGGTCCTGGCAGGCGAAAACTCGACATTGTAACTTGCAAAATTGGTAGTTGCCTTCAAAATGCTTACATCCTCTGGTGCAATCCTGGATTAAGCATTGCAAACCCTCTCAGAGGAGATGATCGAACTTATAATAACTAGGAACTCTATGCAGGGTTCTTGGTGACTAAGGCCCGTATCGTCAGTCGTCTCTACAATTGTAGGGCGCCTTTGTGGCCTCCTTGATTGTCATCGTTTTCTACTTCTCCATGTCAGAACTCTATTTTGAGGTTATGTCACAAACAAATCTATTTGCACCAAATTCTGCTTGCTTTTGAGTTATATCATGTTTTATCAGCCTGAAATTTCCTACAGTTTAAAAAGAAAACATATCTTCACAATAGGAGAGCGCTGACGCTGACACGGGACAAGTGTAATCTAGAAATTTTTGAAGGAGAGAAAGGAGTATGACAATCAAGGAGGCCATAAACGCGCCCTACATTGTAGGGACGACTGACGATACGGGCCTAAAACATATTAAGGCAGATATAACAGACCTGCTTCTCACCTTAGGCGTCGCCTGGGATAAGTATACGAATACCCCTAACAAGGGAGATGCTAGAGAGAAATAATAATGATAATGCTTATTGTCAAACAATATACAAATAACAAATTAAAAGGTTGCAATAAGCAGGTAGTCCAAAAAAATTGAATAACATGTACCCCAACTAACAATTAATACCCCTATTAGAGTTGCAAGAATGATTATACACTACTCCTTACACAGCATTGTATAGTGTAAGACCTCTTAGAACAGCTATACAAGCGAAATGGGCACACCTAATAAAACACTTCAGTCATTTAAGAGGTTGTATAAGGGCTGCAGGTAACAGATATACAACAAAAGTGTAAACCTCTTGCAGCCGCTATAGGACATTTGCGTCAGTGCAAGATTCAGTTTTTATCGACTATACAACTATTCTGTTACGTGATTCTTCTTTATTGCAACCAAACTATTTCTTATGTATTGTATAGACCAAGTGAAGAATATATAACTAACATATTACAGTCATCTTGTTTACTTACATATCGGCCATTATGAATTTGATACACAGGTATATGATAAACTTCTACACTGTGATATAGGGCTATTGAATTACTTGCGCAGCAACTTTTATTGTGATTATCGTGCAAAGTAGTTACGCATTTTCTACGGGCTTCGTATTTGAATCATATTTTGATAATGATCAAAAGTATGTCTAGATTTTTAAGATGGAAAACTGAACTTATCTGCGTTAAATCTTCCACAAATTCTATATTTAGACTCAATTACACTAATGCTTATCACTTTATATCTGTAATTTCGAAGTGAAAAAATTGTTTAATATTAAATAGAGGAATAAGTGTTTGCCCAATATGGCGGGTGGTTGTGTATAATCATGGCATCGTCAATGTTGTCTTTAGTTTATTAAAATATTTTGGTGTTGCCTGCAGGTGTAATACAACAATTTGACAAATGTCTGAAATGAAATACCGACAGAGTCGAATGATTTACCCAGAATTTGTACCATTTGATAAAACTTTCTGAACCAATATGCATATGTTGTTGGTCTTAAAACACTGGTTATGGCATTTTAACAAAAATTCGACAGCAGAAAGTTAGCTTATGGTGAAGTTGTATACCAACATATTTAGCATATGTACAGCCTTTAACAGTAACTAAACAACAGTTGTGTAAGTGCTTCCGTTGGGAGCAATTTGTTGGCTAAAGTAGTAAATTTGCACAGCAAAACAACAAGGCTCCGGTTTGTTTTATAAACGTTACCATGGATGCCACAACACAACCATTTTGATTAACGTGCAAATATGCCGTGTAAAATAGTTGTATAAACGTTTATGCAACAGTTAAAAATTTGTCCTATAACGTGTTGTATAACTATGCTATAAGAATAATTTAAACACCTCATTTTAGAGCAAATATGATGCAGAAAGCAAATTTGCATTCCACACAACATTAAGCCAGCATTTTAGTGTTCAGGCAACAACAATAGAGAGCTTTTATAGCTAAACGGTTCTTTTACCAAAAGCTTATAGCACTACTTTGCTAGTTCGGGAGTTTAAAGTCTTATACCTAACTACTACATATAATAGAATTAAAAAAAAAGCATATTTGGGCGTCCTTGCCAGTATCAGGGTTTGTTCTGACAATTGAGAGGAAAATGTCAGAAATCGGTTATATCCACAACCTTAGGCATGGTGATAATCTTGGAAATCGTGCAAATTTTAACAAATTTTTCCAGGTGGTAGTGCTGGCAACGCCCATGGAATTAGTCAGTTACCCAAAGTTACGTCTCTGGATCGATGTACCGATGTTTCCCTACATGTCGCACGACCACCTAGCAAATATTAATTTTGGTAGCGACAACACAATAAAGCTCTCGGTTTATATTGAGCAGGTGTAGTGTTATGCTAATATTGACTATTGGTTGCCACCAGCAGCATGATATGGCAGTTCGAGCAACGTCTTGTAGC